ATCACCCTCGTGAAAGTTTCATATTATTACTATTCATGAAACACTAAAAACAAAATTTTAAGTGCTTTCACATTAAAATTACATAATACTGTAAAATTTATAAGACAACAAAGTAATAATAACCTACATTTTTTGTTATTCGATAAAATAATAATAGCTTAACAACATTACAAGAGATACAAGTAAAGTATTAAATACCTGTGAGTAAATGTAAGGTTTTAGTAAGAAAAAAAATTACGTTGTACTGTTACATAGAGTTTACGGTGCGGGAATAAATAATAGGCCGACTTGTGATTAACTGATACTTCAGTATATTCTCTTATATTCGAAGGAAGTTGCACGTGTATTCTAGTCTCGCAAACTTGGTCCTTTCGCTCTCGCGTCTCCAGCTAATCTTCCCTTTACTCTGTCTCTTCGCTCTCCCTTTTGTATCACTTCTCCTCTCTATTCCCCTACCTTTCGGGCCTAAGCAGCAGAGGTGCACGCACGCATAGCTATATGCTATTGTACGTAACAGTAGGGAGACAAAACGGTATTGAACATTGCTGTATAATATCACGTTGTAGATTGCTAGTAGTCTTATTTCTAAAAGCTTTCTTGTAATGATTCAACAATTGGTGTAGCTTGTAACAATATCTGACAGCTTTATGCATTCTAGTTTAGGTAGAGTCTTGCGCTTTACTTATAGAATTATGAAATTTATTCTAAAAAAATGTAATTTTTTCTTTGGAATTCAATGACGATGGTAGAATTACATATTAAATCTACGTGTGATTAATCAATTACACGTTCTAAGTTTGGCTTACCAAGATTTCATGAACCTGATATTAATTAATAATAGCATAATAATTTTTAAAAATCATGTGGCAAATTTTCAAACTTATGCGATAGCAAAAGCATGAAAAATGTTAGTAAAAAGATGTAGCAAAAATTCAACGTTTAAAGTATACAAGAAGAATAATTTTAAATATAATTTAAGAAAAACTATAAAACGAGTTCTTCGTTTTTTGTTTCTAGATGATGCAAAATTTTTGTATTACTACTTGCAATTTGTTACTTAACATTAAATAAAAGTTTTAAGTACTTAACTTGACTTACTAAGCCGATTTAAAATACACTTACCTTCGCCTTTGTTGCTTTATCAAGTGTATGGCCGCTAAACCTCATGGAATTTTCAGATATGGACATTTCCAATATGCCTGAAAATTATTATTCGTTAAAAAGTTATTAACTTATTCAGAAGTAAAATAAATGCCACAGTCATGAACTTGAAATTAAACCATCTGTTTTAAATCAAAAAATTTATGTATGTAATGCATTTATTTTTCACATTAAGTGCATGTATGTAATCACTAAGGGAAGAAAGTACGGCGTTCCGTTCCAGGTATGAGTTGTCGACAGATTATGCCGTACTTTTTTCCCAAGGCCCGTATACGATTTTTCCTTTACCTTCTCAGAAAAAATGACGTTTTTCTATGGATTCAGGAAGAAAATTGTAACATAACCTCTGAGATAAAAACGCATTTACTGCTTATTAGGAAAAACATTTTGTCATCCTCTGCGAGGAAATTGCCTCCCAAGCCAAAGGCACGGAAGGCCACCATGCAGAGGATATAAAATAATTTTTTTATGAGTAGTATAAGCGATTTTTTACCTGGGATGAATGTTGCTGTTTGCTCCCTGATAATAAAAAACAAAGACATACTTTCGGCGAAGGTATGAGAAAAACTTAATTTTATTTGAATTATGAACTATAAAAGTTGACAGACAACTTATTATTGGCTGGTCACTTAATGGAAACTTTTTAACTCTTTTGTTTTACAGATTATGAATTATTGTATTAGTGGTTTTAATACGTGTAATGAGATTTCAAACTTATTAGTAAAAAATTCTTACTTCAAGCAGGCACATTTAGCACCTAACATTTTATAAATTTTTTTTCCAACTCTAATACATTTTCATATAGTTACTAAGAATATCTAAGAAGTATTTAGACAAACTTGTTCTATTCTAGTAATGATAAGACTCATTTCTTGCACTTCAAATAGAATGGCTTTATGATAAAAAACCTTTACAAAATAAACCTTCTTTTTAAATGAAAGATGCCTGGACGCATGTTGAATACAGATTTTGATGTGGTTCGCTTAATTATTAAAACCACAAAATTTTTGTGGTAATAAAACATGCTTTTAAAAAGCTTAATTCACTTACAATCATACAACTATTTATGAATCATTTCTAATATAATCAAGCAATCTTTAGCTCCTACTTGTTTTCATGTTCGATGTTAAAATATCTGTCTGTTAGAACTTACAGGCACATTAAAAATCAACGAAATGAATCAGAATAGTTAGCAATCAAATCATTGTTTTATATAAAAAATTCAAAAACTGTAAAGCGTATATATGTTTATATGTTTCATAATTAAAAAAAAATACTACTGCTTATTTAATTATTCATAAAAAAAGTACATAATACGTTTTTCGTTTACAAAAATTTAATAATCATAAAAGTAGTGTAAGTGACTGCATAAATCTTTAATTTCAAATTGAATATCATTTAGAATTTCAGTGCATGTAAACTATTTTTATTAGAAACGTAGAATTCTTCTGTGTACTGTAATGTCAGTAAACTGTTGTTGATAAAATTACTAATAATATTTTTTTCTTGCTCATTCCTTCAGAACTTCTTATGCCGATTCAGAAAGCATTTTAAGCAGGGACCAACATGCATTTAAAAAGGGGCAAATCAACTGCCAGTTTACTCGTAGCTGTAATCAACTATTGTTTATGGTATGCACGCTAGCCTATGCTGACCAGAAATAAGAAACTAATATTATTTGATACCCTAATAACTAACAACATTTCTACAACCAATAGACGCAAAAGATTAGCTGGGAACAGCTGCACTGGAATACAGTATTAAATGCTAGAATAACTTATAATTAAGACATGTAGACTAAGATACAACGAAAATACAAGTAAGATATGAAAACGAAAACATACATGCTACACCTGCAGTAAGCAATAGCTACGTATGACATACAGAAGTGTTAACTACGGTAAAACTATCAGATCAACATTTTTAATCTTTTCAGATATTACCCGATTTTTGTCGTTCATTTTAAAGATGCATGATATACCAAGTAATCCTTTTTTGTTACACCAACGGTTTCATAAGCCATTAACTAAAGCCTAATTTGTAATCTGGTTAAATTTTATTATTTTTTCAAGTGTAAAGGAAAATATAAAAATCATAGCCCTTTCCCATTTTCCTAGCTCACTGACATCAAGAGAGAGTTGTATTGCCGCCTTTAACATAGGTAAAGAAATTTCTGAATCCTTAAAAAACGATGAACCGACTTCGTCTCTGACGACTAGCAGTAAAAAATAGTTTGATCAACATTCTACCAAACATTCTGAATAATTTTTGCAATATTATAATCAGCCGAAACTGCCCGTAAATCTAAGTATGTTAACTCCCGACAGGTACAGTACGATTATGATCATCATTATCTTTTTTATTACATACATAACTATACTTATCATAAGAAAAGCCACTGTTAATACTATTTAATTATTAGTGGTAGTTGATATACCGATACACACCGACCGTTTGTTTACCCAAGCATTTAATCAAAATGTTAAGCGATTATCATCGCTCTTTTTATATAAGTTTGATTGAATAAACAAACAGTGCTGAGCATTATTAAATATTAGTAATATTTTATCATAATTTTAATATTCAGTTAAAATAAAAAATCAGTAAAATTTGGATGTAAAAGAGAAAGGAAGGGTATGAGTGAGTGAGTTACTTTTTCTTCTCTTGATGCATGTAGGAGAGTAAGCCCGATGTGGGAAGTGCTAATTTCTGAGTGGCTAAGCTAGAGAAGCTTTAGCCAATTAGATTTTCGGCTATTATCTTTTCTCAAGATTTTCCCCCAGTCATCTTTCCTGCGTTATTTTCTAGCCATCACGTAGCCGAGGTCGACTCCTCCTAATGAAAAGGCCCAAAGGTTCCAAAACTTACTTCTAGGGCTTACATCATTACACATTACGGTATTGGTAGTCTCTAGATTTCTCGGAAATAATCAGTCTCTTTTTGCGTAAACTCTTAGGAAATCACCGCTACTCATGATAGTATCGGTAAATTCTATATCAGTTGCGAACTAAGAACATAATTTACACCTTGTGTAAGCTTTAGGGCAATCGTCACTACTCGTGACAGCAGTGGCAGCCTTCAGATCGCGAACAACACACCTTCTATGCACCGCTCCAGGTAGTAGTGACAACCTCTAGGCACGTTGCGAGTAAGTGTATCACGGTTCAGCACAACATCCTTCACTCTAAGGTATTAGTGCCCTCTTTCGCTCAGGTTGCCATAAGTAATTACGACTTTTAGTTCGGGTGCCTTGCCTCGTATTCCCAGCTGCTTATAGCCGCTCATCCCACCTACGCACCCAGTGTAAGTCCTAGGTTATTAGGCGCAAGCTTAGATTCAAATGATACATCAAACCGACGTAACAATATTATAAAAATAAGGCTACTCTACGACTCTGTTAAGCCGAAATAATTCTTGGTGATATTTAAATCGAACAGATTGGAATAACGCTAAAAATTAACATTAAGTTACGTTTCTGTTAACGACTTCCACAAAAAGTATGACAAGATTTTTACACAACGTTTTTTATGGCCAAAAAAGTATGAAAGAAAAGACTACGGATGTTGCTATTTCTGGTAGTGGCAAAATAGGGCAAGCACCAACTGACCAAAAGCTCATTCACAGCTACTGCAAAAATTAATGTATATCCGTTAAAATTAACTACAATCAAAAATTATATCATATTTACGCTTCTACGGATTATAGAGCAACATTTTTTTCCATAAGTTGAAGTAGCTCTTAAATAAAAAATACCCTGTGATTTATTCCTTGTTATTCTATACATTACTTGTCTAGGCGTTAACATTATGCAAGCTAGTGACGCAGAGACTGCAACAAGAAAACGAGAAATTTATTATTTACTCAGATGAACTATAGCAAGCATGGATAAACCATATGGTAAAAAGAAAAAAAGTATATATTTGACTTAGAATAATTAAAAGAAGATTATGGTACGTCGTAGCATAACTAACAATAAGTATATAATACACAATTGTACAATACAAACAGTGTACAAAGTTGAACTATAACAACATTTGAGTATTGCACAAGTATACAAATTAATGTCAACATGAAGATAAGTTATCACCATGCGATAACTGAATGAAATCGATCACACTATTGAACCACAAACTAACACTAATGCAAAGTTTTTTCAGGTTTTCTACAAAAACAGAGTCAGTAAAAGAAAATAAGGCAGTTATATTAGCGGATAGTTGGAGAAATTTTACATTCATGCCCACAAGATTTTTTTTAGACTATTAATCACAGTAAAAAAACCTTAGACATTCCGGCCTACGTGTTAAGAATAAACGATATAAGATCTGCCCCCAAGTAAATATAAGGAGACCAGCAACCATCTTTCTTACCGTTTGGAGTAGCATACTCGATTTTTTGTAAATAGTCACAAACGTGACTATTCCCATGCCTATACCCTTTTTTTTTTTTTATATTTTATAGTGCTTTACGTCCGGCTCCTATAAAGGGCACTACTGAGGGCACTTAGCACTTTGGATAAAGAAGGGAAGAGGGATGGGAGGCCTCCCAATACTGGGAGGGGGGTAGGGGGAAATTAGGCCATTATGCTGCGAGAAGGTCACCTAAACCCTCCTCGAGGAGCATTACGTGGTGAAAAAGCACATGTGAAAGACATAGAGGTACTTGCCCGAGAAAGTCGCACTGGCCGGGAACTGAACCACGGTCCCTCGTGCCAATTCACGACCTAGCCGACTGAGCCACCGCGCGCTCATGCCTATACCCTCATGAATGTCACCAAAAATGCGAAGAAGCACTGATAGCATACTAAAGCCACGTCAAAAATCTAATTAAAACGGCTACATCAGTGCGTAGATTTCAATGTAAAAAATTCAGCATAAGTAGTAGATAAAGTTAGAATTATTTGTGATTATGTTGGTGTAAGCTTAATCGAAATATATGCTATACATAAGGTCGTAAAACTAAAACTAAGTTTCATTTGATTTCAACAAAATTTTTTTCATTAACTTCGAAACAACTGTTTTAATACACTGTACCTTGACTA